GTGTTCTGAGCTGATTCTCCAGTGAACTAATTTGACCTTCCTGATGCCCTAAGAAAATCTCTTTTTGAGAGGCAATATTAAGAATGCTCGCAGAGTAGTTAGAGATGCTCTCGAAGTCTGCCTTTTTAAAGCTGGATTTATCTCTGCACTCCTTCAGATGAGACTGAATATGCAACGTGAGAGAATTAATGCTTTCAGAGCATCTGACCGAGTCGTTTACTTCTGCAGGACTTGGTGCTCGGGATCCTTCTATGAGAATTGAACGTGACGGGGAAAACTCTCTGGACCCCATGGGAAGAATAGGAGCTTCTAAATTCTGCGGTCCTTGAGCCCAAAAGTTACTGAGCTAAGTACCCCAACACCAGAGGTAATGAAGTGGTTAAGCAAGCCCTTGAAACGTATGCTGTGCTATTGCAGCTCTAGTAAGGGGGTGTAAAAGTGATTATACTGATTGGCTGGTAAGACAAGAGAAAAGTAAAGCTATGCACAAATATTTCCTAAATCACATGTAAGCAGCCAGTAGTCTGAACACTAAATTTCACAGTAGAGATTCAATTTTAGGATAATCGAGAAAATTACACTGCATGCATAAGACAATGTAAATACAAATCTTTTAGAAATTCGTAAAAGCTGACTGTATACAAATACTTGGGTGTTAGAATTCAATAGATCACAATTCACAAACAGAGTAGACCGGTAGTACTAAGTATGCAAATAACACATGCACCAGCACCTAAATTGCACGCAACATTACGAACGCTTGATTGAAATTCAAACCAAACAGCATATCATACAAACCTTAAAACAAACAGCAATAAAACAAACAACATAGCATAAGATCAGTACTAAAGCTAATTAGCCAAAATGAAAAATATTAATTTATAACAAACCCTTAATTAGAGTACAAATGCAACTAGTAACTCTTACAGAATATTGTTAAACACACAGCGCAAACAAAGACTATTACTAAGTAGGCATTAGAATATTGTATACCTATTACAGGCACTTGCACATTTTTTACAGAATATTAAATTGCACAGTCCATTACGAGCACTCGATAAAATTAATTAATTTACTGAGATTAGATAATAAAGATTAGTAATTTACTGAGTGTTAATTAGCCAAAATGAAGGTTGTTCATGTATTGCAAACAATTAAAAATTAACATACCCAGATACTATCTCCTAATGAGAATGATATACAATAGTATTACATAGGACTCTTATTGAGTGCTAATTAACCAGCTGAACATTGAAAACCTGTTACAAACAAGTGAATAAACTTGCACGCACTATTGCGGGCACATGGTTAAAATAACTAATATTTTATTAACAGACAGCATAAAAAAAATTACTGTCACTACATAAATTTATGCGGATCAACACTTCATTTGCACCACTAGATTACACCGATTTCATATTACTTCCAGAATATATATGGCAAAAACGAAAATTATTGAAATGGAATTGAGAAAAGGCGAGATTAATTAATGCAATTAAATGCCTAAAAAGAGACTACATGAGGGCACATATTATTGAAATAAAATTGACATTTAAATTATAAGGGAAGGTTCTCTTAGATGTACTGCTTACGTAATCAGAGCTCAATGACTCCCTACAGGTGAAAGGAAAATTAAAAAATTAACTTGGCTGCCGCTGTTTCATCTCTCAGGAGGAAATCCGCATTAATCACTGAGGCACAGTGTCGATGAAACAACAAAAATGCAGAAGAAAATTCAAATACGTAATCGCGAAAAAGACACCTTCGGAATCATCTTAAAGTGCTGCTTAAGAAGACATAGGTCTCATATACATATGTCCCTTTAGGCGTAGAATTATTACTCTTTTAAAACAATAGCCAGTTCGCTTTGTTTGGTCGAAAACCACAAGGTCCGTTGAAAACGGTACTTTTTCCTGGGGGAGAGGGAGTCCTCTCAGAGTCTTTCCCTGTGTTAAGCACAAAAGCTTCTTTTGGGCTTGATCGTCAAAATGAGGTGAAACAACAAAATCACAAAAATGGAAGAAATAATCCAAATAATTACGAAAGAGTCACCTTCGGAATAGTCTTGATGAGCTGCTTAAGAATACATAGGTCTCATAAACGTACGTTCATTTGCCGTAGAATTATTACTCCTTGAAACAAAAGCCAGTTCCGTGTGTTTGGTCGAAAAACTACAATATCCGTTGAAAGCGGTACTGTCCTTGGGGAAGAGAGGGAAGTCGTATCAACTTCATTCTATTTGTAATGGAGCAAAACTTCTTTCGAGCTTGATATTGAAAATAACACACTCATTGCGTTAATAATAATTAAATAGTAACAGCTTGATCTACACTGAAGAGACATATATTAACACAATCCTTTTGACTTCTACTACATACTAAAAAAAAAACTTCGCACACAAAACTTCAGGAAGTACGCGCGTTGAAGGCGAAAAACTCAAAGCACAAAAAGTACGTCCGACACATTCAAGAGCCATTACTGATCAACAAATTTGAAGTACTGTGATGTAAAAATTTTGAAGTACTGAGATTTTGAAGTTTTAAATTAAATTTTGAAGAACTGTGATGTACAAATGGTAATCCCAAATTTATGGTACAGACATAAAAGGATGGTCCACAACAAAGACATGAATAATATTCACATTTCAATCTATGGTCGCAATCCATTTATTTATGCATAAAGACAAATTTAAGAGCATTTATAATAAAAACTGTAAAATGCAAATGAGATCACATAACATTTCGCATGAATTGTTTCATAAGAAGAACAGCACACATAGAAACTATCTTCTTTAAACAAAGTCGCGAAAAATATTTGCATAATAGTAATTTATATAAATATGTACAATTGCGGTAGAAGGAAGGTGAATTTCAGTAGGCAAAGACGTTATTCGCCATTGTACACTCTTCAATGATGAGAACTTTTACGTATACCGAAAGAGCAGATATGGATTATATGCACAACCGTACACACAGAATGTATCATCGATTGCACAGCCAAATTTATGAAACTTGTTTGTGCCCCTCCACAGACAGGATGCTCTTCGACGATGAACTGTACATTATACAAGATTTGAAGGAAGAATTTTGACTTATAGACACGAATCAAGCACAAGAGCTGTTCGACAAAGCTTAGGTGTGAACCAGCGTATAATTCGGATAGTGTTAAACAAAAATGTCTAACTCCACTTGCATTGACTGTGGCTACAAACCTTGAATCCCTAAGACTTTACTCTGGGCCTAAAATTCTACCAGTGGCTTTTCAAGCAATTTGTATGGCAGCCGATCTTCATAGCTCTTGTGCTGATTTTACAGATGAGGCGACATTTACTCGCCAGGGTGTATTTGATTTGCCCATAACTTGTGTGTGAGCGTCTGAGAATCGAAGCGTTGTTTGACCATATGTATCTTAACAAAACATCAGTGTGAATCTGTGGTCAGGTACCGTCCACGAGTTTTACAATGGACCATACCTACTGATACTGCAGACCCAAGAACAAAAGTTATCTTATTTTTCTGGAATAGGTGTGGCCAGAAATGTAGTGTCGAATATCAGTAGCTGCTCCATGTGTGCGTGAAATATATGGCATCTTTGGGAGTGTACAGATGTCTCCCCATCGATGATGTCCAGCGTATATCACTGTTGGTAATCGGAATTTTCAACTGTTCTTGTAAACATATTGTTTCAGTTAAGGTCAAACAGTCCGCATTTATGCCTCAATAAATGGATTTCGACCTAAGATACCTATGTAGACATTGTTTAAATCATAGTTCTGTACCTCACTTTTAAGTTTGCACCATGAATTCTGAACCATTCGGAATAGGATAATAAAACGTCATTAAAAGTAGAAAAAAAAAACCTCCCAAATAATATTTTAGAAAATATATTCCGAAATAAAACATCCGACTTAAAATATTAATCTGATGTAAATCTTATCCATCGTCTGAAAGTTGCGTATTAGACATTAGCTTATGTAAATATCTTTAATTTTTTTGGTGAATACATGAAAACACGAGCAATGTTTTTCTGATAATAGCAGATGCTGTTGCACTGAAAATGCAACTATAATTCATGTCACTATGAATTGTGTACATAAAAGGTAATTTTAGTGAAATAATATGTGGAAATTCTGTATTTTCCCCCATCATAAAATAACATGAAAAGCAAGAGAGAAACGATGTTTTGCTTTAAAATCAAAGAATACGGGAGCAAGTCTATTCAACAATCAGTAAATAGCTATTGCGCTATTTTTGCCAAATATTGCCAAACTTACGACTGTTTTGGGGACTCATTTTTATCATCAGAGTTGACAGGAATTGACCAAACATCTCCAAACCTGGCGAACATTTAACAACATTTTGGTTCGCAACTTGTATAACTGAAGTTGAGATTGTAAAAGAAGCAAAAAGCATCATAGAAAAGTATATAAAACGAGAGAATAGATCAGTTTCTCAGTCGTATTTAGTAGTTAGTTCGTCGTGGATCCAAACATTGACATAACTTTGGCATTAGCTGCCCTCTCCACATGTACTGAGCCTGTTGATTATACTTCGTATTACTGAGATCACCTATGAGAAATTTGCTGCGGAAAATTTTGGAACGGTGAAGAGCATTTTTGGTAAATTACGCATCATCAAACTTTCTGAAGTAATGTATGCATTCAATCTGTTAGAAACACGCTTGCATGCAGCGTGTGTAACACTGAATTTTCTGACGCTCCTTTCACATAAAAGTATAATTCCCTAGAATCGTTAACTTTAGTATAAAATTTGTATTTCAAGAAACTAAAACTAATGCCATTAATACTAATGGATCGCGCATAATCATTCACTATAGAAAAGATACAGTATAATTTGATCGAACAAATTTCCATCTTTTTTATACACGCTTTCGAAAGTCTTACAGGAAAGTAAAGACTGACAAGTTCATTCGTCTTTAACACACAAATTATAAAACGTTTTTGACATTTTAATTAAACAATTAAACATAATTAAACATACCTGAACGTCCTGTATCCGCACCAAATTTCCATGAACCTAAACCACCTAAAATGAACAAATATGCGAGAGCTATATTTTCCAAAATTTTGTGTTTCTTGGAATTAAATTGCTCCTATTTAAAAAGGAAAAATCCAACGAACTACGGAAATATAAATTAGTATTAATTTTATGGCCGTACGTATTACGTGCCTACTGGTATACGCCAGGTTATCTTCAATAAGTGCCAACTCCATGAGTTTATTGTGTCCTACCTCTCTAATTAGTTGTATTTATTATTAGTTAATTTTACACTTTCTCTTTTAAATTAAAAGCCCAATTGGAGGTTTATTGTACGCCCCAGAGCAAACATGTATTTACTCATCATCGGTTGGAATATGAGGGTAAATTTACATTTCTTTGAACTTGTTACATACACTAAAAAAACTCAGCAAATTTTCGCTACAAATTTCTTCATTACTCTAGCTCACGAGGAATTCTATATTAGCTAGAATATAAGAACCCCATTTCTAGTTATATACTTGAGAAACAGGTGACATATATTGTGATTTCTGTTTTCAGTACACAAGCCAATCTCGAACAAAGTTTACAACGTTTCGGCAGGTTATCGTAAGCAGATATTTGACTGTAACATTGCTTACCTTCTTATGATTGCATTAACACATTTCAACTTCTCAAAAATGTGTCTCCTTTGTTTAGTATTACCAAGAGTAGTTCATGCCTATCTAATGTGTTCAATTTTCTGATATCCGAGTTCATCACGTTAGATGTACAATTTTTTTGATTGATAGCTCACCAAATGTGAATTTTGTGTTCTATCCATTTCTTTTAGTGTAAAAATGGTTAACATTCTGCAATTTTTGCTGCCATCGCTTGTTTCCCTGAAAAATGGGCAGCTATGCCTTTTTGCCCTTTAATTTGAAAGGAATTTAATAAATATACAATTTTATTCTAATTTTAAATCAATGTCTACGTGTTTTATATTAAGATAAAATTTTGAAGCACCCTGATGTATACAGGTTTATTCAAAATTTGTGGTATAAACTTGAAAAACAGCGCACATATAAATTTTAAAATTCATTTAAAAAGGTGATCTTGAAGCTATGTGAAGAAACATATTTGCATATTAGTATTTCTTGCATAAATATATACTGCCTCGGTGGAAGGTAGTATGTGTGCATCTCAGGAGGAAAAGGCGCTATTCGCGATTATACAGTCTTCAGAGATGGGAGGCTTTAAGTATGCCGAAATAACACATATGGATTACATGCACGACTGTGCAAACTGTGAATGCCAGAGCTGCGCTACGAATACGAATATCGCACATTCAATTTCTCGATAAACGTGCCAGATCACCGACTGTTTCCTCGGTCACATCGTGAATTTGATAAAAACTGTTTGTGCTTGTCTTCAGACATGATGCGTTTCGACGACGAACTGTATACAATCCAAGATTTGAAGGAACAATTTTGACTTGTAGACCGAGTCAAATACATGGTCTCTTGGACAAAGCTTAGATGTCAATTAGCGTAACATTCGGAGAGTGTTAAGCGATAATCGCTTAAACCCCTTTCGTTTCCAGTGATTACAAGCCCTGAATCCGTAAGAGTGTCTCTTTATGCCTGAACTTTTACTAATGGCTTTTGCAAGCACCTTGCATTGGAGCCGGTCTTCACAGCTCCTGTTCTGATTACAGATTAGGCAACATTTCCCGCCTGGATGGATTTGATGCGGACATTTCTCATTTGTGTGCAACAGAAACTTCAAATATTATGCGACCATCTGTACATTAACAAACAATCAGTATAAATCTGAGCTCAGGTACTGTACAGGAGGTTTTAATTTGCCCATACCTACTGCCTTCAGTGACCAAAGACAAGAGGTGTCTTTGTATTCTGGAACAGGTCACCAGAAATGCTCCAGAAAGTTCCGATCTTCATTCTAAAAAAAGTAAATACAGTTTGATGGTGCACCAGCAGACGTTGGCACTGAAGTTCGCATTTACTTGGATGCAACTTGTGGGGTGATGGGAATTGTCCGCGGTAGACCAGTCCCTAGGCGTCCCCGATCCTCTTATTGTTAGAGTCTCGATTATTTTTTGGCACAACTGAACACTATTGTTTATGCAACTTCAGTTGATTCAGCTAAATATCTCATTGCTGGAAATAGCTGCTGCGTGTGTGCGTGAAGTATCTGGCATCTTTTTCAGTCTACACAAACTCTCTCCACTGGTGTTGTCGAACATGTGTTGTTGTTGGTAGTCGGAATTTTGAACTGTTCTTGTAAACGTCTTGTTGAATTTGAAGTGAGACACCCCGTACCATTCAATCTATTAGGACCCCGAATGCATCCAACTATACCTAACCTAGAATTTCTCTGACACACCGTTCACATAAATATATAATTCCTTGCGATCGTTAACTTTAGTATAAGAGTTCTATTTCGGAAAACTTAATACTAATGCGATTAATGCTGAATAGATCCCGCATCATAATTCAATATATTAAACATTTAATATAATTTGAACGAATATATTTCCGGAATTCGTTTGTGCATACTGTCGAATTTCTTACAGGAAATAAAAAACGGACAAGTTCAATGCACATTAAAATAAAATTTTGATATTTTAATAAAACAATTGAACATAATGTGCTTTTAGTACTACGTACCTGAATGTCCTGAATCGGCGCCAAATTTCCATGCACCTGAACCACCTAAAATGAACAAATATGCGGGAGCTATAACTTTCAATATTTTAGGTTTCTTGTGATTAAAATCGTTCTTTTTAATAAGCATAAATCCGTAGATCTGAAAATCTATAAATAAGTGTTCAGTTTACGGACATACATAATACTTGCCTAAAGTATACGCCATTATCATTTATTAAAGGCCAACTCCGAGAGTTGATTTTGTCCCGCTTCGGGTGATTTATTGTGTTTAGTATTGCTTAATTTTATATTTTTCATTTTAATTTAAACCCCAAGTAGAGGTTTATTGTACGCGTCAAAGGAACCATCTATTTATTCATATTCGTTTGGAATAAAAGTGCAGCTCCCGATTTCTTTGGACATGTTACATACACGAGAAAAGCTCAGCGGATAGTCGCTTTGAATTTCATCAGCGTTCTAGGTTACGAGGAACGCTTGTTTAAATAGAATTTTACAACCTCTTTTCTGGTTAAATTGTTGAGAATCCCTTAACTTAATTTCGCTTTGCGGTTTTGCGTATATAGGCATATCTGGACCAGCGTTTAAAACGTTTCGGCACATTATCATATGTAGATAATTGACAATAATTTTTACTGAACTTATTAAAATTGATTGAACTTATTTCAATTTCTCCAAAATGTGTCTTCCTTGTTTAATATTGTTAAGATAAATCGTTACCTATGTAATGTTATTAGACTCCTGAGATGAGTTTTTCATGTTAGATGTATATATTTTTGATAGATTACACTGCAGGTGTGAATGCTGCGTTACATAATTCGCATTTAGTGTAAAAACCGTCTACTCGTCTCGAATTTTGCCTGCCAAAGTATGTTTCTCAGAAAAGGAGGAAACTGTGTCTGTTGGCCCGTGAATCTGAAAGCAAGTTAATGAATAAGCATCTTTATTCTAATTTTAAATCAATGACTGCATGTTTCCGATTAACCTAAAATTTTAAGCACCGTGATGTACACAGGGTGAGTCCATATTTATCATACAAACATTGAGGGATGATCTGGAACAAAGATATGAATAATACTCACATTGGCAACACGGATCGAAATCTATTTATTTATTAACAAATAGAACTTAAAGTGCAATTGCAGTAAAAACCTGTAAAATGCGAATGACATCACATACTATTTCGTATGAATTGCTTCAGTTGAAGAACAGCCCATATTGAAACTTTTGAAACTTAATTATAAGGATCTTCTTCAATCTACCTCACGACATATATTTGCATATTAATAATTTGCATAAATATGCACTACTGCGTTAGAATGCAGTAAGTGTGCATCTCAGTTAGGAAATACGCTATTTGCGATTATACTATCTTCAGTGATGGGAGACTCTAATAATGCCGAAAACGCAGATATGGATTATTTGCAGGGATGTGCAAATCGTAATGAGAGAGCTGCGCTACGAATATTACATACGTAATTTCTCCATAAACGAATGCCGGAAAACAGACTGTTTTATCGGTAACATCGTCAACTTTGTGAAGAATAATTGTGCTCCTCATCAGACAGGATGCTTTTCGACGATGAACTGCATATAATCCAAGATTTGAAGGAACAATGTTGTGTTATAAACCGAGTAAAGTACAAGAGTTGTCGGACAAAGCTTCGGCTGGAGACAGCGTAACATTCAGAGACTGTTAAATGAAAATCGCTTACTCCGCTTCCAATTTCAGACATTCCTAGCTTTGAATCCGTAAGAGTATCCTCTGGGTTTGAACTTCTACCAGTGGCTCTTGCAGCGCATTGCATTGCAGCTGGTCTTCACAATTCCTGCGCTGATTACAGATGAAGCGACATTTACACGCCTGGGTGTATTTGTTGCACAAAATTCTCTTCTGTTGACAACAGAGAATCCAAACCTTAGGCGACCACACGTATCTTAACGAAATACCACTTCAAAATGGCGGGTAGGTATTTTACAGGTGCTTTTAATTTGCCCATACCTAGTGCCTCACTGACCGAAACACAAAAGGTAACATTTTTATTCTGGAAAAGGTGTTGCCATAAATGCTCCAATATGTTCCTATCTTCATTCGTACGCGAATGTAGTTTCAGTACGATCGCACACCAGCAGACTTTCTCTCTGATGTTCGCAATTACTTGGATGTCTTTTGTGGGGCGCTATGAATTGACCTGGGTAGATCAGACCCTTGGCCACCGCGAAACCCGTATTTTTCGAAAAATGATTATATTTTGGGTCATCTGAACAATCTTGTTAATGTAACACCAGTTACCTCAGATAAAGAACACGTTGCTCGAATATCCGTAGCTACTGCGTGTGTGCGTGAGGTACCTGACATCATACGTGAGGCAGTGTACACAGCACTCTACACCGATGTTGTGAAGCATATGTTTCGCTATTGGTAGCAAAAAATTTGAACTGTTCTTGTAAACATCTTCTCTAAATTGAAGTGAGACTCTCTCCGTATTTATGGCTCAATGAGTAGATTTTAACAAATGTTCCCTATGTAGATATCGTTCATAGCTTAGTTCTATACCTCGCTTCGAAATTTCTACCAGGAAATTGGTTCCATTGGGTAAAGGTTAGTAAGAATTCATTAAAAGTAGAAATATAACTATCGCAAATAGTACTCGTATTTTGTGAAATAGATTCCAAAAGAAAACATTCATTAGCACGAAAGCGTCCGATTATAACTATTGATCTGATTTAAATCTTATTCATTGTCTGAGAGTAGTGAGTTTAGACGTGAGCTTACATAAATATTTTAATTTTTGCTGAATACATGAGAAAAAGTGCAACGATTTTATGATAATAGCCCGTGCACTTGTGCTGAAGATGCAACTATGATTCTTCCCGCTATGAATTGTGTATATATATATAGGTAAAAATATGAAAAGCATGAGAGAAATGATGTTTTGCTCGAAAGTTATGAATACAGGGACAAGTCTATTTAAGATTAAGTAAATGGCTATCGCGCTATTTTGGCGAGATATTGCGAAACTGACGACTGTTTTGGTGACTAATTTTTGTCATCAAATTTGACTTGAAATGGCCACACGTCTCCAACACTGGCGAGCATTGGGCAGCAATTTGGTCCGGCCCTGGTTAACTGAATGGATATTGTAATTGAATATCTGTATTTGATACTTACATTACCTGTAAAAGTATCCGGCTCCAAGGATTCGAGACGCAGAAAGCATTAGAGATTACTGGGGGGCAGGACAGAAAAGTATAAAAGAAGAGAGAGAGCACCACTTTCTCAATTGTTATTAGTAATTAGTTCAGCATTGTTCCAAGCATTGAGATAACTGCGTTTAGATTTGCTCCCCACATGTGCTTTGTACTAAACTGTGTTTAACGTCCTTATAGTTTGATGAGTACCTACACTTTATACCCTGTGATAATGTGAAGAACTTTACGAACACTTTTGAAGAAAATTTTAGGACTGTGAAAGGCTTTTATGGAAAAATATATTTTTCAAGCTATCATCAGCTCTGCGTGCATTCAGTCTATTAGGATTCCGTATGCAAGCAACGATATGTAACACTGAAGTATTCTGACTTGTATTTCACACAAAAGTATAATTCACTGCAATCCTTAGCTTTAGTATAACAGTTGAATTTCGGAAATCTAATACTAATGCGATTAATACTGAATGTATCCCGCATTATATTTCACTATATAAAACACTTTATTTATTTGGACGAATATATTTCCAGACTAATTTCGAAATTCGTACAGAAAATTAAAGACTAAAATGTTCATTGTCCCTTAACATAAATATTATAATAAATTTCTGACACTGTAATAAAACCATTGAACAAAATTTGCTTTGAGTACTACATACCTGAAACTGCTGATTTCGCACCAACTCCCATTGCAGCTGAACCACCTAAAATGATCAAACATACAGCAGTTATCACTTTCAATATTTTAGGTTTCTTGTGATTAAAATGGTTATTTTAAATAAGAATAAATCCGGAGGCCTGAAGAACTATAAATTAGCGTTCAGTTTACGGAGGTACGTAATACGTTTCTAACAGTATATCGCCAGTTATCCTTGAAAAAAAGCCAATTTCGCGAGTTGTTTGTGTCTAGCTTCGCCTGCTTCATTGTGTTTAATATTAGTTACATTTATATTTTCCATAATAAATTAAAGCCCGAATTGAGGTTTATTGTACTTCCCAGAAGAACCATTCATTTTTTAAATTTCAGATGGAATAAATGGTTAAATTAACCCTTTTTTTACTTGTAACATACACTAGAAGATATCCACGAGTTGTCGCTATAAAATTCATCAGTATTCTAGTTTACGAGGAATTCTAGTACACAGACTACCAATAAGTATTTGGACACCTGTGATAGAAAGAAAAACTACCTTTATTCAAAATCAATAGTTGGTAGATCCTCCACGAGAGGTATTTACAGCGTGGACCCTCCTGGGCATACTTTCACAAGTCTTTGTATGCAGTAGTGGTATTTTCTTCCACTCGGCTTGGAAAAGACATAGGATTCCTTCACCGATTTTGCACAAGTAGTGCTCCCCTGTTTCAGCGATGCAACTCGTCAGAGGTTCTTGATAGGGTTCATTCTGGATTCTGGGCAGCCAGTCCATTCGATGAACTCCATTGCACCATACCAATCCTTGGTTAACGTCGAATCGTGACCCTGGCATTGCGTCCTGAAAGTAACAGGGGTCCAACCGTAAAACTGCCACAACGTAGGAGCATTGTCATCCAAATAGTGCAGTAGGCATCGGAGTTGAGCTTACATGAATGGGACCAAGGTCCCAGCCCATACCAGGAAAAAACCCCCAGAGATAATTCCACCTCCGCCGAACTTGACTGTTGGCACAATGCTTCGGCAGGAGACTTCTCCAGGTAGACGCCAGACACAGACCCTGCCATCCGAACGGTAAAGGTGAACTTTGATTCGTTACTCCAAAGAAACCCGTTTCCACTGATCTAGGTCAATTTCGATGTGCTTTGCACCAATTAACGAGCAGCGCGGTTGGACTTTGCGATCAAAGGCTTATGGGCAGCAGCACGACCATGAAACCAAGGATGTGCTTCCTTACGGATGATATTCATTGAAACAACACTCCGGATGTCTGTTGAAACCTTCTGAGGATGAGGGCCATCGGTTGGGTGCGTTCATCCGAATTTCTCTGGAGACACGTTCGCGTCTCTATCTCCCAGTTTCGTTGGTCTGCGACTCGAGCCACATTCCGACAGTGACCGCTCACCTTCAGTCTTAATCATAGGCCACTGTCGATTTTGGATACTTTAGATCGCTAGATATGTCCCTTAAGGATCGGCCATATTTGTGATACCCGATAATTATACCTTTCTCGAAATTAGAGAGCTCGAAACTGCAAGGCATCTTGCATGCGAGTAAAGCCGATGCTGTTTCCTACACGATATATACATACTATATGCAGAATCTGTGACGTACCTTAGGACCGCAGATATCGTCATTTGCATTAGGTGTTCAAATACTTATTGGCAGTCAGTGTATAGCTAGAATATTACAACCTCGTTTCCGGTTAAATACTTAAGAAATTTGTGACATAACTTAGCATTGCGATTTTCAGTGTATAGGCATATTTTGACCAGTGTTTAAAACATTTCCGCGGCTTATCATAAGTAGATATTTAACAATAATTTTTGCTTAGCTTACTAAGCCTGCGTGTATTCTTTGTTTAATATTATTAAGAGCCGTCCAAACCTATATAATGCTTTTATATTCCTGTCATCTGAAGTTTTCACGTTAGATGTATAATATTTTGGTTTTTTGATAGATAGCTCTACAATTGTGAATGCAGTGTTCTATCAATTTATTTTAGTGTAAAAATCGTCTACACTTCTGGAATTGTTCCTGACAAACTTGTTTCCCTGAAAAGGGTTGGTGTGTTGAGTTATGGCAAAGCACACGAGGGCTATCTGTGTAAGAAGAGGGATGCCTTCGTGGAGGACTTTCTAAGGGAAACTGGCTCGTATACACGTTACACATGGGGAAAACCACGAAAACGTCCATGCAGCCAGCCCATTCGCGGGATTTGAACCTCGGACCGAACTACCAGTGTTCAATGACCAGAGTACCAGTGCGCTCGGGCACTGTTGGGCCCCTGGAAAGGGAGAGTTCTGTCTGTTCGTCATAGAATCTGAAAGGAATTTAATAAATATACAGCTTTATTATAATTTTAAATAAATGGCTACATGTGATATATTAAAATAAAATTTTGAAGCTCCGTGATATACAAATTGTAATTCTAAATTTATCGTACAAATTTCAGGGATGATACAGAACAATGACGTAAATATTATTCACATTGGAAACACGGGTCGTAATTGAATTATTTATTTAAAATTTATTTATAAATACAAATTTAGGTGCATTTACTATAAAAAACTGTAAAATGCAAGTGAGATCATATATCATCTCGCGTGAATAAAGAAAACAGCACACATAGAAAATATCTTCTTGAATCTACGTCACGAAAGATATTTGCATAATTGTAATTAGCATAAATATTTAGAGTTGCTGTAGAAGGCAATAGGTGTGTATCTGAGTACAGAAATTCACTAATCGCGATTGTACTTTATTTAATGATGGGAGACTTTAAGTATGCCGAAGGAGCAGATATGGATCAAGTGCATGGCCGTGTAAACGGTAATGCCAGAACTGCCCAACGAATGACATATGCGCAGTTTCTCGACAGGCAAATGCCGGAAAACAGAATATTTCAGGGGTTATATCATCAAATTCATGAAATTTTTTGTGATCCTCATCAGACAGGATGCTCTTTGACGACGAACTGCATATAATCCAATATTAAAAGGAAGAAATTTGTCTTATAGACCCGAATCACGTACAAGATATTTTGGACAAAGCTTAGGTGTGAAGCAGCGCAACATTCGGAAAGTGTTAAAGAAAGGCGCTTACTCCACTTCCATTTACTGTGATTACAAGCCTTGAATCGCTACGACTAACATCTGGGCCTTAAGTTCTAATAGTGGCTTTTGCAGTAATTTGCAATGCAGCCAGTCATCAAAGCTGCTGTGCTGATTACAGATGGGGCGACATTTACCCGCCTGGGTGTATTTTATGTGCAAAATTCTCCTCTGTGGGCAACACAGAATCCAAACATTATGCGACCACATGTATTTTTACAAACAATCAGTGTAAATGTGTGGTCAGGTATCCTCTAATAATTTTTAATTTGCCTATACCTACTGCTTCAGTGACGCAAAGGCAAAAGGTATCTTATTTTTCTGGAACAGGTGTTACCAGAAATGCTCCAGTATGTTCCGATCTTGATATGTAAGCGAACGTAATTTCAGAATTGTTAATGCAACTCCAGTTAATTCAGTTAAAGATCTCATTGCTCGAACATCAGTAGCTGCTGCGTGCGTAGGCGAGTACCTGGCATCTTTGGCAGTGTGTAAGTCTGTCCACCGATGTAGTCGACCATGTATTGCTGTCGGTAGTCGGAATTTTCAACTGTTTTTGTAAACATCTTGTTTCGGTTTGCATGAGAAACCCCGTATTTATGACTCAATAAATGGATTTCGACCTAGATTTCCTATGTAGATATTGCTCATAACTTATATCTGTACCTGCCTTCGAAGTTTGTACTATGAATTTAGAACCATTCGGTATAGGTTAGTGAAAATTCATTAAAAGTTAAAAAAAATATCTAGCGCAAATATTATTTTGTTAAATATATTCCGAAAGAAAAATTTCATTAGCAACAAAACAACCGATTTAAAAACATTGATCTGATTTAAATTTTATTCATTGTCTGAAAGTGATGTTTTTTGTAGTGAGCTTTCATAAATATCTTTAATGTTTGCTGCATACGTGAAAAAAATTAGCCCTGATATTCTGACAATATAATAGTTGATGTTTTGTACTGAAAATGTAACTGTGATTCTTATCGCTATGAATTGTCTACATAGATAGGCAATTTTAGTGAAGTTATATATAGAATTTCGGTATTTTCCAGCATAATATGAAGATATGAAAAGCATAAGAGAAATGTTGTTTTGCTTAAACTAAAGAATACAGAGGCAAGTCTCTTTAACATTGAATAAACGGCTCTCGCGCTATTGACAATGTGACAAGTGTTTTGGCCATTCATTTTTTACATCAGATTTGACAGGAGATGGCCAAGTGTCTCCAAACCTGTCGAACATTTCGTTCCGCAACCTGTATAACTGAAATAGATATTGTAGTTGAATACCGGTAATAGATACCTCTATTAGTTGTAAAAATATCCGGCTCTGACATGCTTTGCATCATTTTCGAGAAGCAAAAAGCATTACAGATTCTCTGAGGCAGTTAGATAAGTTTATAAAACGAGAGAGAAAATCAGTTTTTTATTCGTTATTAATAGTTAGTTCATTATGGTTTTAACCATTCAGAGAAATGCGTGTCTGCTCGGCTCTCCACATGCGCTTTGTTCTGTGCTATGTTTAACATGCTTAGTAGTTTGGGCGTGTACCTACTCATTATACTCTGTGATACTGTGAATAATTGCGCGAATTTTTTTGCAGAAAATTTCGGAATTGTGAAGGGCTATTTTGGAAAATATATTTCATCGAGCTATAATCAGTTCTGCATGCATTCAATCTATTAGAGACACGTATGCACGCAAACATAGGTAACACTGAACTATTCTGACGCGTCATTTCCAAGTATAATTCTCTGCAATTGTTAACTTAAGTCTAAAATTTGTATTCGAAAATCTAATACTAATGCGATTAATACATAATTGATCCCGCATAATAATTCACTGTAGAAAAAATGTATTACAATTTAACAAACATAGTTCCCACCTTTTTGAATTGACCAAACATCTCCAAACCTGGCGACATTTAACAACATTTTGGTTCTCAACTTGTATACTGAGGTTGAGATTGTAAAAGAAGCAGAAAGCATCATCGAAAGTATATAAAACGAGAGAAAGATCGTTTTTCAGTCGTATTTTAGTTGTCGTCGTGGATCCAAACATTGACTACTTTGGTATTAGATGCCTCTCACATGTACTGAGCTGATGATATACTTCGTCTACTGAATCACCTAGCAAATTGCTGCGGAAAGTTGGACGGTAAAGGGCCTTTTTGGTAAATACGCCATCATAAGACTTCCGAAGTAATGTATGCATTCATCTGTTAAACACCGTGCATGCATGAGGTGTAACACTGAATTTCTGACGCTCCTTTCACTAAAAGTATAATTCCCTAGAATCGTTAACTTAGTCTAAAATTGTATTTCAGAAAACTAAAAATAATGCCTTAATATAATGGATCGCGCATAATCATTCACTATAGAAACATACAGTATATTTGATCGAACAATTTCCCATCTTTTTAATGCTTTCGAAAGTCTACAGGAAGTAAGATGATAGTTCATTCGTTTTAAACACAAATTATAAAATTTTTACATTTAATAAAACCGTTTACATAATGTGCATTGGTACTAACTGAAAGTCTGTATCAGCACCAATTTCCATGCACTGAACCACTAAAATGAACAAATATGCGAGAGCTATAGGTTTCAACATTTTATGTTTGTTGTAATTAAAATGCTCCTATTTAAAAAGGAAAAATCCGAACTAAGGGACTATAAATTAGCGTTCATTTTATTGCCGTACGTATTACGTGCTTACTGGTATACTTTAGTATAAAAGTTCTATTTCGGAAACCTAATACTAATGCGATTAATACTGAATGGATCCCGCATCATAATTTACTATAGAAAGCATTTAATATAATTTGAACGAATATATTTCCAGACTTCGTTTATGCATAATATCGGAATTCTTACAGGAATATAAAAACTGACAAGTTCATTGCACATTAAAATAAATTTTTGATATTTTAATAAAACCACTGAACATAATTTTCTTTGAGTACTACGTACCTGAACGTCCTGAATCCACACCATATCCCCATGAACCTGAACCACCTAAAATGAAAAAATACGTGGGAGCTATAACTTTCAATGTTTTAGGTTTTTTGTAATTAAAATCGTTCTTTTTAATAAGAATAAATGCGTAGACCTGGAAAATATACGGACGTACATAATACGTGCCTAATAGTATATGATATTATCATTAAATGAGGACCAACTCCGAGAATTTATTTTAGTGAGCTTCGGCTGATTAATTGTGTTTAGGATTGCTTACTTATATAATTTCTACTTTAAAATAAAGCTCAAATGGAGGTTTAATGCACGCGCCAAAGGAACCATCTTTTTATTAGTATTCGGTTTGAATAAAAGTGTAATTTAACAATTCTTTGAACATTTTACATACACGAGAAAAGCGCAGCGAGTAATTATTAAAATTAAAATTGCATTATTAAAATTAAAATTAAATTGCTTATTAAAATTGCATTTTTTTGGAAATGTTACATACAATAGAAAAGCGCAGCGAATAGTCACTTTAAATTTCATCAGTGTTCTAGCTTACGAGGAATGCTTGTTTAGCTAGAATATTACAACCTCATTTCTGGTTAAATACTTTTGAATTCTGTGACTTACTTTTGGGTATATAGGCATATCTGGCTTTGCAGTTGTGAGTATGTAGGCATATTTGGACCAGTGTTTAAAACGTTTCGGCACATTATCATAAGTAAATGATTGACAATAATTTTTGCTGAGCTTGTTAAAATTGCATGAACATATTTCAACTTCTCAAAAATGTGTCTTCTTTGTTTAATATTGTTAAGATAAATCGTTACCTACGTAATGTTATCAGATTTCTGATATCTCAGTTTTTCACGTTAGATGTATATATTTTTGATAGATAGCACTGCAAGTGTGAATGCTGTGTTATATCAGGCGCTTTTAGTGCAAAAACCGTCTATTCTTCTCCACTTTTACCTGCCAAAGTTTGTTTCCCTGAAAAGGGAAAAAATCAGTCTGTTGGCCGGTGAATTTGAAAGCAAGTTAATGAATAAGCAGCTTTTTTTCTTATTTCAAATCAATGACTGTGTGTTTCAGAGAAACCTAAAATTTTTAGCACCATGATATATACAGTGTGATTCCAAATTTATGGAGTTTATTTATTCCAAATAGACTTACAGGGAGGATGCAGAACAAAGATATGAATAATATTCACATTGGCAACACGAGTCGAAATCCATTTATTTATTCACAAATATAACTTAAAGTGCAATTGCAGTAAAAACCTATAAAACGCGAATGGCATCACGTACTATCTCGTATGAATTGTTTCAGATGAAGAACAGCCCATATTGAAACTTTTGAAACTCATTTAAAAGCATGTTCTTCAAACTACCTCATGGAACATATTTGCAAATTGATAATTTGCATAAATATGTACTGCTGCGTTAGAAGCTAGTAGTTGTGCATCTCAGTAAGGAAATACGCTATTTGCGATTATACTGTCTTCAATGATGGAAGTCTTCAAATATGCCGAAATAACAGATATGAATTACTTGCTCGGCTGTGCAAACGGCAATGCCAGAGCTGCGCTACGAATGTCATACACGCAATTTCCCGATAAACGAATGCCGGAAAACAGACTGTTTCATTGGTAACCTCGTCAACTTGGTGAAACTATTTGCGCTCCTCATCAGACATGATGCTTTTTCACGATGAATTTCATATAATTGAAGATCTGAAGGAACAATTTTGACTTTTAGCCCGAGTCAAGTACAAAAGCTGTCGGAGAAAGCTCAGGTGTGAGTCAGCGTAGCATTCGGAGCCTGTTAAACGAAAATGGATTACTCACCCTTCCATTTTCAGTGATTACAAACCTCGAATTCGTCCGAATATCCTCTGGGCCTAAATGTGTACCCGTGGCTTTTGCAGCACCACCGAGCAATCGGTGATGCCAGGACCTGGGCAACGAATGTCACATTCGCACTTTCTCGATAGCGAAATGATGGATCACAGAATTTTTCTCGGTTAGATTATCAAATTTGTAAAATTTGTTTATGCTCCTCATCAGCCAGGATTCGGTTCGAGGAGAAACTGCACTAATACAAGATTTGAAGACACAATTTTGAATTATAGAAGCGAACGAAGTACAAGAGCAGTTGGACAAAGCTCAGGTGTGAGCAAGCGGAACATCCGAGGAGTGTTAAACGAAAATCCCCTCCACCCCTTCCATTTTAGTGATTACAAACCTCGAATACGTAAGAGTATCCTCTGGGCCTGAACATCTTCCAGTGGCGTTTGCAGGACATTGCATTGCAGGCGGTCTTCACAAGTTCCTGGGCTCATTACAGATGAGATGACATTTACTCGCCTGGGTGTACTTGACACAAAAAAGTGTCACTTGTTGGCACCAGAGAATCACACCTTATGCGCCCATATGTATGTTAACGAAATATCAGTGCAAATTGGCGGGCTGGTATTTTACACGAGCTTTTACTTTACCCATACCTACTGCCTCAACGAACCAAACATAAAAGGTATCTTTTTATTTTGGAAGAGTTGTTGCGAGAAATGCTCCAGTATATTTCGATCTTCATTCGTAAGCGAATGTAATTTCAGTGTGATGGTTCACCAGCAGTCTTTGGCTCTGAAGTCAGCAATTACTTGGATGTCACTTGCGGGGCGCTATGGATTGACCGCGGTACACCTTTCCCTTGGCCACATCGATCCCCCTATTGTTCGAGCCTCGAATATTTATTTATTTATTTTTTTTTTTTACATCTGAACAGTACTGTTTATGCAACTCCAGCTGACCAAGCTAAAGACCTCATTACTGGAATATTAGTAGCTTCTGAATGTGTGCGTTAAGTACCTAGTATTTAACGCACACATTCAGAAGCTATTAATCGGCTGATGTCAAGCATGTATTGCTGTTGGTAATTGGAAGTTTAAACTGCTCTTGCAAACATCTTGTTTAAGTTGAAGTGAGACACCCCGTATTTACGACTCATAAATGAATTTCCACCTAGATTTCCTATGTAGATATTGTTCATATGTTAGTTCTTCACCTTGCTTCGATGTTTGTACCGTGAATTTGGAACCATTCGGTATAGGTTAGTGAAAACTAATTAAAAGTGGTAAATTATTTATCGCAAATAGTATTTTGTGAAATATATTCCGAAAGAAAACATTTATTAACACCAATAGGTCCGATTTAAAAATATTGATTCGATTTAAATCTTATTCATTGTCTGAAAGTTGTGTGTTTAGACGCGAGCTTACATAAATATTTTTAATCTTTGCTGAATCGATGAAAAAATGAGCCCTGAAATTCTGATAATAACCGCTGCTGTTGTAATAAAAATGCCACTAGGATTCTTATCGCTACGAATTGTGTCCAAAGACAGGTAAATTTAGAGAAATTATATGTACAATTTCTGTATCTTCCAGGGCATAATAATAAACATGAAAAGCATGAGAGAAATATAGTTTTGCTGGATAATTAAGAATATAGGGGCAGTATATGGCTATCGCACTATTTTGGCGAAATATTGCCAATCATACGACTGTTTTGGTGAATAATTATTGTCATCAAATTTGACGGGAAATGCGCAAACGTCTCCAAACCTGGCGACTATTTGGCAGCATTTGGGTACGGACACTGTATAACTGAAATCGATATTGTAATTGAATATCTATAATTTACACCTGTATTAGCTGTAAACTTTTCCGGTCCTAACATGCTTTCCAGGCATTTCGAAAAGCAGAACGCATTAGATATTTCTCAGCGGCAGCCAGAGAAATACATCAAAGCAAAGAGAACATCAATTTCGCAGTTGTTTTTGGCAGATAGTACACGATGGTTGCATGCTTTGAGATAACTGCGCATTTGCTCCACTGTCCACATGCGCTATGTACTCAGCTCTGATTGCTCATAATGTGCTTTGGGTACTACGTATCTGAAAGATTGTAGGTTAGTAGAAATGTATTAAAAGTTGAAAAATATCTGTCGCAAATGGTGGTTTGTGAAATATATTTCGAAAGAAGAAATTATTAACACCACAAAATAAGATTAAAAATATTGATCTGATTTAAATATTATTCATTGTCTGAAAGTAGTGGTTTTACATGTGAGCTTATATAAATATTTTTATTTTTGCTGAAAACACGAGAAAAAGAGCACTGATTTTATGATAATAGCTGGTGCAGTTGTACTGAAAATGCAACTATGATTCTTATCGCTGTAAATGGTGTACATAGATGTGTTAAGTTGGGGAAAATTATATGTGGAATTTCTATATCTTCCAGCATAAAAATAAACATGAAATGCATGAGAATAATGATGTTTGGCTGGAAAATAAAGAATAAATGGGCAAGTTTATATAACATTCAGTATGTGGCTATAGCGATATTTTGGCGAGATATTGCGAAACTGATGACTGCTTTGCTGACTAATTTTTATCATTAAATTTGAATGGAAATGGCCAAACATCTCGACGCCTGGGGAGCATTTGGCAACATTTTGTTCCGGACTCTGTGTAAAAAAATCAAATGGGTATTGTAATTGAATATCTGTATTTGATACCTAAATAGCTGTAACCGTATCTGGCTCTACGAATTTCGAGAAACATTAGAGATTTCTCGGCGACAGGTAGAAAAGTATATAAGATGCGGGAGAACATCAGTTTCTTTGTTGTTATTAGTAGTTAGTTCATCATGGTTCCAAGCATTGGAATAATTGCGTGTTAGCTTCGCTCTCCACATACGCTTTTTACTGAGCTGTGTTTAACGTCCTTAGTAGTGTGATGTGTACCCAGTGATTTTACTCTGTTATAATGTGAATAGCTGTTTGCGCAAAAATAGGCTCACCAGCGCCCGAGCGGTAAAATCGCTTAACACTGGTAGTTCGGTCCGAGGTTCGAGTCCCCGCGAACGGGCTGGCTGCATGGGTGTTTTCGTTGTTTTCCCCATGTGTAATGTATATACGAGCTAGTTTCGCTTAGAAAGTCCTCCACGAAGGCATCCCTTCCTTTAGGCACTTAGCCCTAGTGTGCTTTACCATGATTAAATACAACACTACACCACTTGCGCAAACATACGAATATTTTTGTAGGAAATTTCGGAACTGTGAGTAGGTGTTTTGATAAAATATATTTTATCAAGATATAATAAGTTCTGAACATGCACGCAACGATATGTAACAATGAACGTTTCTGGCACGTCTTTACCATAAATGTATAATTCACTGGAATCCTTAATTTTAGTATTACATTTTTGTTTCGGAAATATAAAACTATTGCGATTAATACTGAATGGATACTTTATCATAATTCACAGTAGTAAACTTTTCATATAATTTGAGGGAATATATTTCCAGACTTATTTTATGCATGATTTCAAAATTCTTAAAGGAAAATAACAACTAACAAGTTCATTCGTCCTTAATATACATGTTATAATAAATTTCAAACAGTGTAATAAATCCATTGAAGAAAATTTGCTTTGAGTACTACATACCTGAAACTGCTGATTTCGCACCAACTCCCATTGCAGCTGAACCACCTAAAATGAACAAACATGCAGCAATTAACACTTTGAATATTTTAGGTTTCTTGTGATTTAAATGGTTCTGTTTAATAAGAATAAATCCGAAGACCTGAAGAACTATAAATTAGTGTTCAGTTTACGGAGGTACGTAATACGTTTCTAACAGTATATCGCCAGTTATCCTTGAAAAAAAGCCAATTTCGCGAGTTGTTTGTGTCTAGCTTCGCCTGATTTATTGTGTTTAATATTAGATACATTTATATTTTCCATAGTAAATTAAAGCCCGAATTGAGGTTTATTGTAGTTCCCAGAAGAACCATTCATTTTTTAATTTCAGTTGGAATAAAAGGGTAAATTAAGCCTTTTTTGGACTTGTAACATACACTAGAAGATATCAGCTAATTGTCGCTATAAAATGTATCAGTATTCTAGCTGAAATACTATAATGGCCATCCCGTCTTCAAAAGGTTAATACTCTCCGAATGATACGCTAGCTCACACCTAAGCTTTGTTCAACAAATCTTGTACGTGATTCAGGTCTATAACTCAAATTTCTCCCTTTAAATATTGGATTATATGCAGTTCATCGTCAAATAGCATCCTAAACTATAGTTTAGCTAGAATATTACAACCTGATTTCTCGTTAAATATTTGGAAATTCTGTGACTGAACTTAGCGTTGCGGTTTCCAATGTATAAGCATATCTGGACGAGTGTTTGAAACATTTCCGTAGCTTATCATAAGTAGATATTTGAAAATAATTTTTGCTTATAGCCTGAACATATTTCAAATTGTCAAACATGTTTCTTCTTTATTCAATATTGTTATTAAACATCCAGACGTATGTAAAGATTTCATATTTCTGATATCTGAATATTTCAGGTTAGATATATAATTGTTTTATTCGTTTTATTTTGGAAGCACCGTGATGTGGAAATGTTAATTCAAAATTTATCGTACAAACGTTCGGAGATTATACAGAACAAAGATGTGAATATTATTTACATTGAACCTCGGGTCTCAATCCATTTATTTATTCATAAATAAAGATTTAAGTTCATTTAGAATAAAAAACTGCAAAATGCAAACGCGATCATACAACATCCCGCATGAATTGTTTCATAAGAACAACAGCACATATAGAAAAAAATCTTCTTTAAACTACGTCACGAAAGGTTTTTGCATATTACTAATTTGCACAAATTTGTACAGTTGCTTTAAATGAAAAATATCTATCGCAAATAGCATTTTGTGAAATATATTCCCAAAATAAACGTTTATTAAGACCCACAACATCCGATTTAAAAATATTGATCAGATTTATTGACTATCGCAAATAGCTTTTGGAAATCTCTTCCAAATCACGTTATTAAGACCCCAACATCGATTAAAATATTGATCAGATTTATATCTTATTCATTGTTTGACAGTAGTGTTTTTAGTAGTGAGCATACATAAATATCTTTAATTTTTGCTGAATACGTGAACAAAATTAGCCCTGATATTCTGAGAACTGTTTGGGGCTTTTTTGGTAAAATATATTTCATCAAGCTATCATCAGTTCTGCATGCATTATACCTATTAGGAACCCATATGTACGCAAATATATGTAACACTCAGTTATTCTGACGCGTGATTCCCATAATAGTATAATTCTCAAACAGATGTTAATTTAACTCGTAATCCCATAATAATATAATTCTCTGCAATTGTTAGTCTAAAATTTGTATTTCGAAAATCTAATACTAATGCGATAAATAAAGAAAATGCGGAATTAATATCGCAAAATAATTTACTATAGAAAACATTTATTATAATTTAAGCGAACAGATTTCCGAGGTTTTTTTATACATGATTTCGAAATTCTTACAGGAAAATAAAGACTGACAATTTCATTCGTCGTTTACATACCCGTAAAATTTTTTGACATTTTAATAAAACCATTGAACATAATGTGCTTTTTAGTACTACGTACCTGAACGTCCTAAATCCACACCAAATCCCCATGCACCTGAACCACCTAAAATGAAAAAAATATGCGGGAGTTATAATTTTCAATGTTTTAGGTTTCTTGTGATAAAAATCGTTCTTTTTAATAAGAATAAATCCGTATACCTGAAAATCCAGAAAATAGTGTTCACTTTACGGACGTACATGATACGCACCTAATAGTATACCTATTATAATTTAATACGGGCTATCAATTAATAAGGGTCATTTAATAAGGTTTGATTTTGTCCGGCTTCCTCTGATTAATTGTGCTTAGTATTGCTTAATTTTATAATTTCTATTTTAAATTAAAGCGCAAATGGAGGTTTATTGTACGCACCAAAGGAACCATATACACTCACTGCCATAAATTAAGGATAATTCGAAGTCACGCGGGAATCGAACTCTAAAATAAATATATCACCTGTAAAATCACTACAGACATCTTCAATCATAAGCAAATTTCAGGAAGTAACTAGATGACACCGATGGTACGTCAAAATGACGAGAGTGAAGAGAGGTGAGATATAAGGAATACCGCAAATAAGTAAAATTGTTTGCGGGCGCTTTATAAGCTTCAGTGAAATAATCGAATAGTTATGACACAAAGAAAGCATTTGGATGATGTTTACGGTAAATTACCGGCCGTCTGAATGTGGCGTACCCAAATGGAAGTATCAGACGAACTTATTGTCCAGAGTGTCATCTCCAGGCTTTGGCAACGATTCCAAGATGATGGAATGTGAGTAGACGTTCAGCACAGGTCGCCCCAGAGTTACAACCACGACGAGGACCGGTATTGGCAGTTACTGCCAAACGAAACAGGCGGGAGCCCAGCCTCAGACTGTCTCGTCGCTCTTTAACCACTGGTACTACAATTTCAAGGCAGACCATGTAACACGCTTAGTAGATGGTCTATATGCTCGTAGACTGTCGATGGTTCCATTACTGCACTCACTGTCGCCGGTTAGCCTGGAGAGAGAGAGCATGCATTGTGGAACCGTAACAGTGGGTTGTGTGATATCTTCCGACGAGTCCAGGTTTAGCTGGCAGTCTGATTCTCGCCGGACTTTCATATGGAGAGGGAATTATTCTGGGTTCCAGAACTGACCTGCATGTTCAAATTGGAACCATGACAAGCCAAATCTATAGGGACGTCATTCTGGAACAACATGTATGTTTGTTTCGGGGCGCCATGGTCGCGCAATTTGTGTTTATGGATGACAGCGCCCGTCCTCACCGTGCAAACAGCGTAAGCGAATGCCTTCAATCGGAGGATATCACCCATATGGACTGACCGCCATTCTCACCGGACTTGAATCCAGTAGAGTACGTGTGGGACATGCTTGGCCGACGAGTTTGCAGCCCGTCAACCTCCTCCTACATATCTACCGGAGCTTCGGAGATCAATGCTTTTTGAGTGGTGTAATATCCCCCAAGATCAGATCGATAATTTGATACTCAGCATGCCTAGGCGTTGTACGGACAGTATTGCATCGTCTGGGAGACATACAAAGTATTAACAATCATACCAACCATGTAATATTGGATTTTTGTAAATAGGTTTGTTTTTGTAATTTGCTCCAGGGAGAAAAAATCGCTAATGTTTTTAATAATATCAAACATATAGCATCTTTTTTTCCTCTTTATCTTTTGTTTAAAAATAAGCTTTACAAATAAGTCAAATTTGTTATGCTTCTAATTTTTCCTTTGCCTGATTTTGCATTATCCTTAATTTATGGACATGAGTGTATTTATTCATACTCGGTTGGAATAAAAGTGTAATTTAACATTTCTTTGAACATGTTAAATACACGAGAAAAGCAGAGCGAATAGTCGTTATAAATTTCATTAGTATTCTAGCTTACGTGCAACTCTTGTTTAGCTAGAATATTACAACCCCATTTCTGGTTAAATACTTGGGAATTCTGTAACTTAACTTAGACGCGAGCTTACTTAAGTATTTTAATTTTTGCTGAATACATGAAAAAATGAGCTCTGAAATTCTGATAATAACCGGTGCTGTTGTACTGAAAATGCAACTATGATTCTTATCGCTATGAATTTTGTACATAGATAGTTAATTTTAGGAAAATTATGAGAGATATGTTTTTTGATGGATATTTAATGATACAGGAGCACGTTTATTTAAAATTCAGGAAATGGCTATCGCGCTAATTTTGTCCAAATATACGACTGTTTTTGCGATTAATTTTTGTCATCAAATTTGACGGGAAATGGCCAAACGTCTCAAAATCTGGCGACTATTTGGGAACATTTTGGTCCGGATCCTGTATAACTGAAATCGATATTGTAATTGGATATCCATAATTAACACCTGTATTTGCTGTAAATTTATCCGGCCTCGACATGCTTTCCAGGGATTTCGAGAAAAAGAAATCATTAAAGATTTCTAGGCGGTAGGCAGAGAAATACATCAAACCATCTCAGTTGTTATTAGTAGTTAGTAGCTCATGGTTGTAGTTAGTAGCTCAAGCATGGAGATAACTGCATGTTAGCTTCTCTCTCTACTTGCGTTTTCTACGGACATTTGTTTAACGTCGATAGTAGTTTGATGTGTACCTACTGATTTTACTGTGGGATACTATGAATAACCGTACCAAAATTTTTGAAGAAAATTTCAGAACTGTGAAGGAGTTTTTTTGGTAAAATACATTTTACAAGGTACCATCAGTTCTGAGTGCGATATATTAACACTAAATTCTTCTGACCCGTCTTTCACATAAAGGTATAATTTCATGCAATCATTAACTTTAGTATAAGAGGTCTGTTTCGGAAACCTAATACTAATACTAATGATTTTGCAGAATTGATACTGCATCATAATTCAGTGTAGTAAACATTTAGTTTCATTTGAATGAATATATTTCCAGACTTCTTTTATGCCTAATTTCAAATTCTTACAGAAAAATAAAGACTAAAACGTTCATTCTCCCTTAACATAAATATTATAATACATTTCTGACACTGTAATAAAACCATTAAAAAGATTTGCTCTGTGTACTACACTCATGTCCATAAATTAAAGATAACGTAAAATCAGGCAAAGGAAGAGTTAGAAGCAAAACAAAATTGACTTATTTGTAAAGCTAATTTATTACCCAAAAGGTAAAGAGCAAAAAAAGATGCTATATGTTTGATATTATTAAAAAAAATAGCGATTTTTTCCCGCTGGAGCAAATTACAAAAAAACCTATTTACAAAAAACCAATAATACATGGTTTGTATCATTCTTAATACATTGTATGTCTCCCAGACGATGCAATACAGTCCGTACAACGCGTAGGCATGCTGAGTATCAAATTATCGATCTGATCTTGGGGGATATTACACCACTCAGAAATCAATGCTCTCCGAAGTTCCGGTAGACATGTGGGAGGAGGTTGATGGGCTGCAACTCGTTGGCGAAGCATGCCCCACACGTACTGAACTGGATTCAAGTCCGGTGAGAATGGCGGTCAGTCCACATGGGTGATATCGTCCGACTGAAGGCATTCACTTACGATGTTTGCACGGTGAGGACGGGCGTTGCCATCCATAAACACAAATTGTGCGCCCATGCCGCCCCGAAACAAACGTATATGTTGTTCCAGTGTGACATCCCGATAGATTTGGCTTGTCATGGTTCCAATTTGAACATGCAGGTCAGTTCTGGAACCCAGAATAATTCCACCCCAAACGAGCACTTCTGCACCACCGTAACGGTGTCGTTCAATGATGTTTTCTTGGTGGTGACGGGTACCTGGCGCTCTCCATATGAAAGTCAGGCGAGAATCAGACTGCAGGCTAAACCTGGACTCTTTGGAAAACATCACACAAGCCCACTGTTGCGGTGTCCACAAGGCATGCTCTCTATTCCAGGCTAACCGCAGGCAACAGTGAGTTGCAGTAAATGGAACGCATCTGACAGGTCTACAAGCATATAGACCAATCTGCGCTAATCTTCTGTACACGTTCTGCCTTGAAATTGTCGTATCAGTGGCTGAGGAGAGCTGCCGAGACAGGTCTGAGGCTGTGCTCCGCCTGTTTCTTTTGGCAGCAACCAAATACCGGTCCTCATTCCGCGTTGTAACTCTGGGGCGACCTGTGTTGTAACGTCTACTCACATTACCATCATCTTGGAATAGTTGCCAAAGCCTGGAGATGACTCTCTGGGCAATTCCAAGTTCGTCTGATGCTTCCAGTTGGGTACTCCCACATTCCAGAAGGCCGATAATTCTACCACGTAAAAAATCATCCAAATGCGTCCTTTGTGTCATAGCTATTCGGTTATTGCACTGAAATGCTTATAAAGCGCCTGCGAACAATTTTACTTCTTTGCCTGTATTCCTTATATATCACTCTCTTATATTCTCTTCATTGTGACGTACCATCGGTGTCATCTGGTTACTTCCTGAAATTTGCATATGATTCTTGAAAATGTGTGTAGTGATTTTACAGGCGATATGTTTATTTTAGAGTTCGATTTCCGCGTGACTCCGAATTATCCTTAATTTATGGATGTGAGTGTACATACCTGAACCTCCTGATTTCGATCCAAGTCCCCATTTACCTGAACCACATAAAATAAACAAATTTGCAGCAGTTATCGCTTTCAATGTTTTAGGTTTCTTGTGAATAAAATAGTTCTTTTTAATATGAATAAATCCGGAGACCTGAAGAACTATAAATATGCGTTCAGTTTACGGAGGTCCGTAATACTAACAGTACATGCCAGTTATACTTCAATAACAGATCATTTCCCGAGTTGATTGTTTCTTGTTTCGCCTGATTACTTGTGCTTAGTATCAGGTATATTTATATTTTCGAAATTTGAAATTAAGGCCCAAAAGAGGTAACCAGAGGAACCATTCATTTATTAATCTTCGGTTGAAATAAAAGGATAAACTGCCTTTTTTTAGACTTGTATCATACATTAGATTTCAGCAAACTGTCACTATAAAATTCATCAGTATTGTAGCTTACGACGAACACTAGGTTAGCTAGAATATTACAACCTCATTTCTATTTAAATACTTGGGAATTTGTGACATATCTTGACATTGCGGTTTTCAGGATATAGGCATATCTGCACCAGTGTTTATAATATTTCCGCAGCTTATCATAAAAAAGATATTTAACAATAATATTTGCTTAGCTTATTAAGAATGCGTGTCTTCTTTGTTTAATATTGTTAAGAATAATTCATACCTATCTAAAGCTTTCAGAATCCTGTCATCTGAATTTTTCTCGTTAGATGCATATTTTTTTATAGATAGATAGCTCTACACTAAATACAACTGTGAATGCTGTGTTCTATACATTAATTTTAGTGTAAGAATCGTCTGCTCTTCTGCAATTTTTCCTGCTAAACATGTTTTCCTGAAAACGGGAGAGCTGTGTCTGTTCGCTCTAGAATTTGAACGGAATTTAATGAATATACAGCTTTATTATAATTTTATTTCAATGAATACATGTTTTAGATTAAAATACAATTTTGAAGTTCCGTGATGTACAAACAGTAATTCCAAATTTATCATAAAAACTTTCAGGGATGATACAGAGCAACGATGTGAATAATATTCACATTGGTACCTCGGGTCGCAATCCATTTACTTATTTATAAATACAAATTTAAGTCCATTTACTATAAAAAACTGTAAAATGCGAATGAAACCAGATATCATCTAGTAATAATAAGGAAATCAGCACATGTAAACATCTCCTTCAATCTACCTCGCGAAACATAGTTGCATATTAGTAATTTGCATAAATATTTAGATTTGCTGTAGAAGGCACTAGGTGTGTATCTGAGTAGGGAAATTCACTATTCGCGATTGTACTTTATTTAATGATGGGAGACTTTAAGTATGCCGAAGGAGCAGTATGGTTCAAATGAACGGCCGTGTAAACGGTAATGCCAGACCAGCCCAACGAATGTCATATGCGCAGTTTCTCGGCAGACAAATGCCGGAACAGAGAATGTTTCAGGGATTATATCGTCAAATTCAAGAATATTGTTTGTTCTCCTTATTATGCAGGATGCTATTTGACGATGAACTGCATATAATCCAATATTTAAAGGAAGAAATTTGAGTTATAGTCCCGAATCACGTACACGATTTGTTGGACAAAGCTTAGGTGTGAGCCAGCGTATCATTCGGAGAGTATTAACCTTTTGAAAACGGGACGGCCATTTTAGTGGCCATAGAGTCCTCTCTTTGAAAAGAAGGGTTTGTCCACTTTAGTGACCATATCTTTTTCCCCCATTTTCCATGCTGAAAAGTGGGGCGAAATGTCAAATTTGACGTCCCTGGGGTTTTAACCACTTATCTTTTTCAAACTTCTTCCTTTTGCCACATAGATGCACCCCTCTGAGAATCCATTAAACTACACACAAGAATCTTTGTTCCAAATAAGTGTTTTTTAAAGGAAGGAAAGCATTCGGTTTAAGATTCCCCGTCCTTTGGTAGCTTTTACTGCTACAAAAGCCCCGGTCTCAGACGGTTAAACGAAAGTCGCTTACACCACTTCCAATTACTGTGATAACAATTGTTGAATCGCCAAGACTATCCTCTGGGCCTGACGTTCTACCAGTGGCGTTTGCAGCAATTTGCATTGCAGCCGGTCAGAAAGCTTCTGTGCTGATTACAGATGGGGCGACATTTACCCGCCTCGGTGTATTTGATGAGCACAGTTCTCCTCTGTGATCAACCGAGTTTCCAAACACTATGCACCTACATGCATGTTTAGAAACAATCAGTGTAAATCTGTAGTCAGGTATCGTCCACGAATTTTTAATTTGCCCATACCTACTACCTCAGTGACCCAAAGACAAAAGGTATCTTATTTTTCTGGAACAGGTGTTACCAGAAATGCTAAAGTATGTTCCGATCTTGATAGGTAAACGAATGTAATTTCAGAATTGTTAATGCAACTCCAGTTAACTCAGCTAAAGTTCTCATTGCCCGAACATTAGTAGCTGCTGCGTGTTTGCGTGAAGTACCTAGCATCTTTGGCAGTGTACACAAGTCTTTCCACCGCTGTTGTGAAACGTGTAGCACTATTGTCAAACGTGTATCGCTGTTGCTAGTTGAAATTGTGAACTGTTCTTGTAAACATCTTGTTTCAGTTGACGTGAGAAACCCCGTATTTATGACTCAATAAACGGATTTCGAGATAGGTTTCCTATGGAGATATTATTCATATCTTATTTCTATTCCTCGCTTCCAATTTCGTACCATGAATTTGGAAAAATTCATTATAGGTTAATAGAAATTTATTAAAAATTGAAAAAATATCTATTGCAAATATTGCTTTGTGAAATATATTCCGAAAGAAAAAAAATATTAGCACCTAGACATCCGATTAAAATTATTTTAAACTGATTTAAATCTTATTCATTATCTGAAAGTAGTGGTTTTAGACGGCAGCTTACATAATTGTTTAAATGTTTTGCCACATACATGAGAAAAAGATCACAAATATTACGATTACAGCCGGGCAGTTGTACTGAAAATGCAACTCTGATTCTTCTCGCTATGAATTCTCAACATAGTTAGGTAAAAATATGAAAAGCATATGAGAAATGATGTTTTACTAGAAAATTAAGAATACAGGGGCAAGTCTATTTAAGATTCAGTAAATGGCTATCGCGCTATTTTGGCGAGATATTGCGAAACTGACGACTGATTTGGCGACTAATTTTTGTAATCAAATTTGACTAATTTTTGTCATCAAATTTGACAAATGGCCAAACTTCTTCAAATCTGGCGACCACGTGGCAACATTTTTGTCCGGACTGTGTATAATTGAAATGCATATTGTAATTGAATATCTGTATTTGACACTAGTCTTAGCTGTAACCGGATCCGGTCGCACGGATATCGAGAGATGAGATAAAACATTAGTTTCTCAGTTATTATTATTATTAGTTAGTTCATCATGGCTCCAAGAATTTCCATAACTGCTTGTTAGCTTCGCTCCCCACATGCGCTTTGTACTGGTCTGTGTTTAATGTTATTAGTAGTTTGATGTGTACCTACTTATTTTACTTTGTTATACTGTGAATAGTTGCACAAATATATTTCTAGAAAATTTTAGAACTGTGATGGGCTTTTTTGGTAAAATATATTTTACAATGTAATATCAGTTCTACGTGCAATTAATCTATTAGGAACCCGAATACACGCAACGATAAGTAACACTGAATTTTTCTAACACGCACTTCACATAAATTTATAATTCCCTGAAATCGTTAACTTTAGTGTAAGATTTCTATTTCGGAAACCTAAAGCTAATGAGATTACTACGGAATAGATACCGCAACATAATGCATTATATAAGTCATTTAATGTAATTTGAGAGAATATATTTCCAGACTTCGCTTATGCGTAATTTTGAAATTCTAACAGTAAAATAAACACTGAGAAGTATATTCGTCTTTAACATACATATTATAATCAATTTCTGACAATGTAATTAAACCATTGAACAAAACGTGTTTTGAGTACTACATACCTGAACCTCCTGATTGCGCACCAAATCCCATTGCACCTGAACCACCTAAAATGAACAAATATGCAGCAGTTATCGATTTTAATACTTTAGGTATATTATGAAAACTCTTCTTTTAAAAAAGACTAAATCCGGTAATCTGAAGAACTATAAATTGGTTTCAGTTTACGCACGTACGTAATACGTACCTAAAAATAAACGCCGGTTATCCTTCAATAAAAAGCCAACTCTGCCAGTTGATTGTATCACCCTCCCCCCTAGCTTCGCCTGATTAATTGCGTTTAGTATTAATTAAATTTATATTTTCTATTTTAAGTTAAAGCCCAAACAGAGATTTATTGTACGTCGCAAAGGAACAGTATATTTATTCATCTTTGGTTAAAATAAAAGGGTAAATTAACATTTATTTGATCTTGTTACATATACTAGAAGAACTCATCAAATTGTCTCTACAAATTTCATCAGTATTCTAGTTTACGAGGAACTCTGGTTTAGTTAGATCATTACAAACTCATTTCTATAAAAATACTTGGGAAATTCGTGACATATCTTGGCATTGCGGTAGTCCGCGAGTAGGCATATCTGAACCAGTCTTTAAAACGTTTCCGCAGCTTATCAGAAGCAGATATTTGACAATAATGTTTTCTTAACTTAGTTTTAGTATAAGATATCAATTTCAGAATACTAATGCGGTTAATACTAAATGGACCCGCATCGCATTTCACTATATAAAACATTTAATATAATTGGAGCGAATATATTTCCAGACATTTTTATGCATTTTTTTCGAAATACTTACAGGAAAATAAAGACTGAAAACTTCATTCGTCCTTAACGTACAAAATTTGATAAATGTTTGATATTTTAATAAAACCATTGAACAAAATGTGCTTTGAGTACTACGTACCTGAACTTCCTGAATCCACACCAAATCCCCATGCACCGGATTCACCTAAAATTAACAAATATGTAGGAGCTATATCTTTCAATATTTTAGGTTTCTTGTAATTAAAATGCATATAATTAATAAGATTAAATCCGGAGACCTAAAGAGCTATATATTAGTGTCCATTTTACGGCCGTACATAATATGCGCCTACTGACATACTCGGATTATCCTTCGAAAAGAGACAACTCCACGAGTTAACTGTGTCCTACTTCGCTGATTAATTGTAATTTTTTTTTTTTTTACTTTTATAATTTCTGTTTCAGATTAAAGTTCAAATGAATGTTTATTTACGCCCCAGAGCAATCATCTATTTATTTCATCTTCGGTCGGAGTAAAAGTGTAAAATAACATTTCTTTGTACTTATAAATAAATGTATCAACCGTCGAGATTTCATGTTATCCTGTATCAAGAAACAATAATTCAATTCGAATCACACAAATCACCAAGGTAAATGAACTTTACGAATCAGGTTGCAAAACTTCGAAGTTTATTCATGTCTATCATACATTTAAGGGGCCCTGCCAAATCCAAGAACATATCATGAGTACATATCATGAGAGATTTACGCCCTCTTTGGCGATTAAAATATATTTCCACAAAACATTTCTTACACACTGGGCCCGGCTGAACAGCAGTTCAGAACAATGAAGATTATCAGTGATACATGGACATTTTCAAGAATTAGTATATAGAATCATTATGCATTTCAATGCAAATTCAAGTTTTTCTTATCAAGAAATATCACATAAACATCAAGATGTAAAACGTACCATATGTTTCAAGAATATCAAGTAAATTTTCATTCATCAAGAATTATTGTTATAACATTCCTGTTCAAGCATCAGGAATTTAATTCAAAAATTTATATAACTAAAAGATAATGTGGGATGGCATCGTTCATTATAATCGGATGACGCGACAAGCTGTGAGAATAAATCTTTTACATTTCTGATGATAGAAGTCAGACGATTCTGCCATTAGGACGACGATGCGAGACTGAAAGATGTTTACATGTAAAAGACGGTCAGTTCTCTTCATCTGTAAATATCATCTATGTGAATTCATCCTTCTACACATGTAATCATTTTGTAGTAACTATTCATGTTTCATTAAATATTGAAGTTATTTGTAAATTGGACTAGTTTATTAGCCCCTAGCCCTTTCGCGCTGACTGTCACGTCTACGTGCCAGCAACGAACACACTCACCTACCGGCCGACACGCAGGCGTGACAGAGCATTTTCCCGTTTACTACCTACTGTCACGTATTTGTGCCAGCGTCCTGGAACGTTTTTCAAACTATAATTTCTGCCACAAGATGGCACTGTATGTCCATATGATTTCAGATACATGTACATTAGACCTCTCTACTCGAAATGAGAGAAGCATGACTCACTACACGTGTTTTTGATTATATAACCAAACGGGGAAATAAAATGTTTCCGAATGCGTGATTTATGACGTCTCTTTAAATCGCACTTTATTCGCACGTGGTAGTTGTTTATTGTAAGTAGAAGTTTTATATGCGGTAAAGCGTTGAGTATTTCGTTTACAGTTCAGTTTTTAGAAAATATTAGATCTTGTTTAGACGTGAATTCTTTCTGTTTTTACCGTTTGCATGTCGAAGCGTCGAAAATGTTTAACAGAGCATGAAATAGCAGAAATGATGCAAAATATTTCAGATATTGATTCTGAAATTCTGATATTCTGATATTGATTCTGAAATTCTGATATTCTGATATTGATTCTGAAAGATTAACTGAAAGACATTTTCCAAAACTTTGTTCAGAAGAGACATAAGAAAATGAGACGATGATGCTTCGTTTGTTCACAATCCCGGAAAAATCCTCCAAAACGGCAAATGAGTTATTACGAGTGTAAGGAATGTAACGTAGGACTGTGTGTAGATCCCTGTTTTCAAATTTTTCATACGTAAAGAGAATTTTAAGTAATACATTTAGTTTTCAGATGTATAATGTTAAAAGTCATAAAATGGTGAATAATTAAAATAAAATGTGTAAAATATGCATTTAAACAAGAAATAAGGTAATTAAAGTATATATATAAAAATATCTATAAAGCATAAGCCGTTTAAATACTCTATAGAGCATTATTAAACAATGCGTTGATACTTTGGAATTTTCATGGATTTAGGTTTAGTAGCAAAAAAGCCCCCGACCCTGGAGAGACGCTCACGGAAGACACTGCCGGCCTCCGCGATAAGCGCGCGGTTTCGATACCCGGCTCGAAGGGGCTAGACAGCCACAAAAGAAGTAAGTTTACAGACATCATATTCCTAGACAATAAGTACCGATTCTACAGATTTGGGGGCTCGGCCGGGATGAGCCTAGGAAGAATCATGATGAATATTACAAAAGAAGTAAGTTTTGTTTCTATTATTTCCACATTGTTAATTCTAAGAATAGTGTTCTACGATACTGTGAATTAAGATGGCTACCTTAAATTATATTCCTAGAATTTCAAATTCTTTAAAGACTGGGCCTACTAAGTCAATTAAACTTTTACATCAAATTGTGTTTGGAACTTTGGGTGATCGAAAAAATAGAGCGAGATTGCGTAACCTTCGTGGTTTTCCATCTGATTTTAATATTGAAGAAACCAAACAAAAATTACTTAAAGCTCTTACTGGAAATGATTTTATTTCTGTGTGTAATTTGTTACATCTTAATTATGATTCAAATCCTGATAAAAACTGTGAATTAATATTGAATAGTCTTTGTGATTTTAAGCTTCTAAAATTCGAAAGTGACGACGATGATGAGTTATCTGAAAACGAAACTGTTTATGATTCGGATCAAAATGATGATGGTAATTCCATTCGATCATAATCACCTCCCATAAATAACTCAATGGATGAAAAAATTATAATGCCTAGGAATATTTCCCTACATTTTTGTGATATCTTATAAACTGTTTCTGAATTTAATGGCACTGATACATATCCCGTTGAATCCTTCATTGGTGATTTAGAAGAATCTTTTAAATTATTTAAGTTATCGGAAATAGAGAAAATTGTGTTTGCTAAAAAATTGCTTATTGGTTCTGCTAAATTATTTATTAGGTCTTTGAAAGGTATACTATCATGGGACAGATTAAAAGAAAATCTTTTATCTGAATTTGGTTCTAAAATAAACAGTGCACAACTTCATAATTTATTACAGAAACGACACTTAAAACCTAGTGAATCACTTTCCGAATATTTAATTGCCATGCGTGAAATAGCCAGTCGCGGTTCCGTTGATGATTCATCAATTCTTGATTATGTAATCAATGGGATACCAGATCAGAGTAGTAACAAAATTTTTGTATGGATGTAAAACCATTTCTGAATTCAAAGAGGATTAAAAATCTATGAGAAAATTCGCGTTCCAGATACGAAAAATAAGGGTTATTCAAGTACTAACACACAAAATAAAACACGCGCTATAACTAGCAAGATTAAAGAGCCAAGGTGTTAGAATTGTGGAAGTTTAGGTCATAAACTAATTCGTGTAACAATAAGAGTAAAGGATTTAAGTGCTTTAAATGCTATCTGTTTGGACACAAAGCCGTAGATTGTTCCAAAACATCTTCTAAAAATATCCAAGAGGCCAAACCTGTAACTCCAATTACTCAGACTTGTTAGAAAGAAATGCATAAAACTGTTAATTTGGGTAATTTGCAAATTGATGCTTTAATAGATACTGGTAGTCAAGTAACGTTAATCCGAGAAGATATACATAAGAAGATAGGTTTTCCTGAACTTAAGTCGGCAGATCTGCAGTTAACGGGGTTTGGTAATGAGAAAATTAAGCCTATAGGAAGATTTGAAGGTGAATTCGAAATTAATGGTTCTTCATTTAGATCAAATGTTTGTGTTGTCACAGAAAACAAGAAATCTGAGAATGATTCTGAAGAGCAAAAAAAAAATGCTTATTGCAATGGAAATGGTTCTGAAAGATTTGAAAAAGTTGTTAATTTTGGTATTTTACTTCCAAAACCAGAAACTTATCCTGTTAGTATAGTTCCTGTTACAGTACAGAATGTGATCAAACTGGACACTTCATCTACAATCAAAGAAAGTGGCAGTGATTTGATGATTGTCAATTCTGATGATGTTTCGAGTGATGCAGATTTTGCTGTAAATGAAAATGATGCTATAAGGATGAATTAGTGCAAAAAGGAAACTCAAGCACAATACAATTAGTTCTGAAGCCAACGAGGAGAAATGCCACTGCAGAAGAAGATTCTGAAGAGAAGCATTTTCCCGAAGAAGAATCAGTTGCTAAAGGGATGAATCAAATGCGAATTCCACTGGAACAATTTCAGTGAAATACCTTACAAAGAAGAGAAGTTACTGGACAAAGAAACTAGAGAACCACCGAGAGAATAAGATTGAAGAAGATTGAAAAAAACCTGAGAAGGAAAAACTGATGAAAACGAGTGATACAGAAAAAGCAAAACGGAAGAAGAGAAGAAAAGAAGCGAAAAAGAAGATTCAGAAGATCCGGGAAGAAAATTTAAAATCTTTGATAATGAAATACCGATTTTGATGATTCCTGATTTAGACGTTTTTCCCGACTAGACAAATTTCTCCCGATTTGACTAATGAACTATTGTTTTAGAGACGTGAACTAATTTAAGAAGAGTGAAGATGATGTCTAAGGATGAAACGTATGAAGGAAGACGGTTTAAAGAAGATGGTTTTGAAAAGACGCATTCGAATGACGGATTTTGAAGATATCTAAGACGCATTCAGAAGACATATCCAGACGGTATCTAAGAAGACGCATTCAGAAGACGTATTCAGATGTTGTTCAAAAAGTCGTAAATACGAAGACGAATCCAGACGAATTGTTCCAGACAACATAAAAAGAAGCCGTGTCTTGAAAATACATGTCTTCAGATAGACTGTTAAAGATGACGAACTCTGAAAGAGCATTGAAGAAGAGATAAAGCCGTTTTTTCTGAAGATGTTAAGATAATGAGAGAAGATGGCATAA